CACGGGCAGTGTCTGTGTATCTCCTTCACAATTCCAATGGGATTAGCTCAGAAAAGATGGAATGGCACCTGGCACTGACCTCAGTATAACGCAGTGCATCTTCCGAGATGGCATCATAATCCTGGGCACAGCTTCTTGCAGCATTTTGGGCAAATTTCATAAATTCTGCTACTTCATTGTTTACCACTTCTTTCATTTGCTGGGGAAAGGAAAAATCTACTTTTAAGACAGAACAGAATCTTCTATGCTAGGTATGTAACCAGCAAAATTTCCAGAGAGGCAGTACAGACAATGGTACGAGGGAGGGTGTAGATTCCACTTGCTGTTCAAGTTGGCAAATGCTAAGAGGTTCACTCCAGGAAAAGAAATTTCTGTGAGGCCCATTTCCTTAAAAAAAACAAACAACCAAACCAACAAAACACCACCACCCAACAAACAGCAAGCCTCTTTTGGTAGGGTGCTTTATAAAAAGAAAGGCTGCAAGACATTGTTGATGAAGTTTACATGCTAAAGCCACAAAGTATCTGACTCTGACTTCCCCAGAAATTGTACCAAAAGTAACAACACAGTAGATACTCATGTGCCCAGGAATGACATTCTCACTGTTACAGCATAAAACAAAGGAATTAGCATTAAAAAGGAAGCATGGGAAACCAAATGGAATGGCTCAAAAACATTTGCTGTTAATTGCACTTTACAGGATTCAGCTCAAATAATACTTCCATCCAACAAGGCCACAGCCCTTTAAACACACAGCTAAGGCTCAGCTGCAAGGGTGCACTCGAGCCCTTCTACTTCTGTGAGCACTGATGTGGCAGCACATGAACAAACTGAATTTAAAAACCAATGTTCCCACCTTCCCCTTTATTCTTTGTAACAAAAAAATTGTATGGCTCCCTTTGTGACACTGCTGTGTCCATAGCTGTGCACTCACCAAATATGTGAACAGTTCCCTTTGACTTGTTGCATTAACTTGAAAATGGTTGATTTTTTTCGAGTACTTGGTCATCAGATATAAGTATGTTTTCTGCTCCTTCTCAGACAGACAAGAGGTGAATGGATAGGGGAGCCTGGGTTCTGGGAAAGGATGATCATCACTTGTGCCTTTGGCCTCTGCCTCAGCTGACTCTGTGGCCTGCACGTCACAAGGCTGCCTGTTTTCTGAAGAGCTTCCCAGGGCTTCCACATTTTTCTTTGCCTCTCTGAAAGAAAAGTAACAAAAAGAATCTGCACTTTTCACATAAATACTAATATTTGTCAGAATTAATAAATAGAGGCAGTCATGCAAGCCTAAACTTCAAATCCAGCAAAATGCTCTGAGAGACACTGTGCTCTTCCAATTCCCGGGCTGTGCCAGAGGATTTCTCTTATTCTGAAACTCCACCTGGACAGTCAGACTCACCCTCAGTACCAGCAGAAGGTTTGCCACTTGTTTAAAAACAGGAAAAAAAAAAAAACTAGTGAGTTTTTTTCTCCTTAAACAAACTGGTGTCTGTATTAGTCTGTATACTCAAGATTGAGGTAACAAGGCAAATGTGAAATGGATTCCTTGCTCTGGAAACACCCATCACCAATGAAAAGATAAAGAATCTCCCCATTTCATCACTCACTGATGGCTGGTGTTCAGTTTGCACTCAGAAAGGTCAAACTTAAAAGTCAGTTATGATAGTAAAGGAGAAAGGCTTTTTCTAGTTAAGTCTCTCACTGTAAAAGAACAACATTTAAATTACTTCATTGTAACACCAGAAACTTCAGATTTTAATGAAGAAATTCTTACAGAGTACACAGTTCAAGAGTTTAATTTTCTACTCTAAACAATGCTGGAATGAGCCACCACAAATGACATTAGGCCAGGGCAAGGGGCACAGCTGCCCTAACAACAACAAAGCTGGTTCTTAAAACCACTCCAGTACATGAAGGCCAACCAGCTCAGCCCTGCTCTATTTAAAATAATTGTTCTTAAGAGAGAAAATACTTAAGGCAGACAAAATGAACATTAACTGCTGATCTTGGAAAAAGCATATTTTTAAGATACTATTTCAGCAGTAGGAAACATCTCTAGTGTCATTCAAACCCAGCAGTATCACATCCACAGCTCTTAATAACACTTCACAGCTGTCTCTCTGGATACAGGGATGTGTCCATCCCCGTGGCACAAACTGGCAAATTTAATTAAGCTGGAGCAGCGACAAGATGCTGACTCAGATATGCCAATGTAGGAACATCAAGAAATTCTAGCAGCTCAAATTGGCTGCATTCAGCACTGAATGAAATGGCAGCACATCAAGATCATTTCAGTATGCAGTGCTGTCACAGGCTTCACTGGGGTGCAAACCAAAATAATCTGACAGAGCTTTTCTGCCCATATTTACAGCATTATCCTTCATTGGAGCTGACGGCTTAAATTTCCCCCTTCGTTTTATCAGCACCCTGCCTTCACAGCTTCTACACCAACACTTAAGTAAATATCTATCAGAAACCCCAATATAAAAACTGGCAAATTTCCTCCAGCTTTTCCTTTCACATTTGCTCCAAGAGGTTTAATTTCTCTGCCCCCTGACTATGGCCACACAACCCAGTTCCATCAGCTCCTGATTCTTCCCAGTTGCAGCCTCTCTGGCCTCTCCTGGCTGTAAACACACCTGAACCACACACAGCTGAACACAGTCCCACTCCACAGTGTCTACTCCAGACACCCTGCAAAGGAAGAATCCTGCAGCAGTATCAGGTGTACCAGCAGTGAGCTGTGAGGGCTGTGCTCATCTCTTGCCGGTTCCAAGGAAAGCTGCTCCAACAGAGATGAACCAGAAAAGCCTTCTCTGGTTAAAGATGTGGGATAGAGAGAGCAGGTATTCCTCTCAAGTGGCATGTTCTCATTGTCAGATCATAAAAATACAGTAATTCCCCTTTTGCACAAGTTATCTCTCCCCATGCTGAACTTCCCCCTTGGAGCACAGGAGCTCCGTGGTTCTGTGGTGTGCCTGTTGTTCCCCAGGACACACCTGCACCTCCCTACAGCTTCACAGCTGCTGAGCAAAACCAGTGCTCTAAACACAGCCCCCCAAATGCTCAAATCCAGCAGCACGAGACAGGCCTTTCACTATGCAAAATAAATGCTGATTCTGCTTCCTTAAGGAAAAAAAAGGACATAAAACCTGCACAAACAACACTGCCTGTACCACCTGTGTTCACACAGTTTCATTTCCCTGCCTTCAGCTAACTCTCTACAGAGTTTCTGCAATAATCAAGGAATTAATTGTATCTCCACTGCACCTATGGAGTTGGGTTTATGCTCCTATGCTGTTGGGTTTATGAAAACAGTGCTGGCTACTTCCAAAAGACAAAAGTGAAAAGGATTTCAATGTACAGGACTGTCACCCTTCTACATAGCGAGAAGACACGGACAGACAGCAAGACATGAATCCCTAAAAAGCATTAGGTCTGGTTTGTGGGTTACAGGCCCCTCACCCTGACCAGTTAAGGGTGTGGGTCAAACTTCATCCCTCTTTAGTAGGTAAGAGAAAGCAAAAACAGGCACCAGCCCCAACAAATAACCTAATCTCTATCCCAAAACCCTCAAAATACCCCCTTCAAGACACAGAATCCCAGAGGGCCCACCCTGGACTCCTCCTGCTCTCTGAAGTGTCACAGCAGCTGAAGCACAGACCTGCTGGAGGAGTCAGTAACAAATCCCTGTGTGCCAGAGAACACCCAGCTTTCCCCCAAAACAGTATGAGCATCTGTCCATGGGATGACAACAAAGAGCACAAGGTGATAAAGTAACACAATATACCTCCTCGATAAATGCCACAGTTCAGACAGGCTCGGAGACAAGGAATATTTTTCATAAAGTTCATGTGAGAAAAATACTTCTTTGCCATTTTTTGGTGTAATATCCCTAATAAAAAAAAACAACAACAACTAAAATACATTGCAATACAAAAAAATCAAAGGCCACAGCTGCCCCCAAGAAACAAAACCCAGAATAATTTATAAAATAAAAGAGGACGCCTACACAGTGTTTCCAGATTTCCTCTTTGTGGAAGTTACAGACATACTAATTCCTTCTGGTTTTCAACAATAAAATACACATTCTTTACAGTAAAAAAGAACAGTTTCACTAATACAATATATAAATTCTAGATGTGGTGAGAGAAACTGATGGTAGTTACACACTTTCATATGTCCATCAAAGAAAACCAAACTTTGGGTTGAACTTGCTGGAATTTTTGCAAAAGATACACCGTTTTTTCTTTTTTTATTTTTTTTTTTTTTCAGAAAAGAGTTGGTTTTGTTTTCTACACTGATCTTACCTTCTTTTTTTTTTTTTTAATGTAGCCCTTCCAGTGTACAGGGTTTATACGACACCAACCTTCCTAAGCTATTGAAAAAGGTGTAAGAAAGGATTTATTTACGTCTTACCTCACAAACTAATTCAAACCCATCACACACAAACTAATTCAAACCCATCCCACCCCTCGGTTAAAGGAACCGAATTACGTCTTTGAGGGGCGTTTCGTGTTAGAAACACGAACAACGCCACGGCCCCGGATTTCCAAGCCCTCGCTGTCCCTCCGCCGTGGGCACACACGGACACGGAGCCCCTCAGGGAAGGGATTCCGCTCCTCCCGCTCCCGCGGCGGCAGCGACAAGAAATGCTTCGCACACCCTCCGCCCGCCCTCAGCGCGGGGACGGCGCCGGACGGGGCGGAGACTAGGTCTGTCGCGCTGCCCCCGGGCTGCGGCGCGTTCTACCCCCGGCGGGGCAGCGCGGGGCCGTGTCTCGCTGGCGGGGCCGTGTCTCGCTGGCCCCGCCGTGTCCCGCTCCCCCCGCCTGGCTCGGCCGGCACGGAGCACTCACTCACCAGCTCAGCGGCGGCTCCCCGGCCGCCATCTTGGCAGGCCCCCTCACGGCACCGGCCAATCAGCGCCCGGCGCGCGGGTCAGGTGCTCCGAGCCAGCCAATGGGGACGCGGGCGGCAGTGGCCGCCTCAGGGCGCGGCCGCCATGTTCCGGTGGGTGGGGCTGTGAGGGCGCGGCGGACTCGTCGGCGGGTCCGTGAGCGGCGCGTTCCGCCCCGGGTGTGCAGAGGTGGGGCCTTGAGCAGCCGAGTGTGCCCTGAGCAGGGGGCGGGTATCCCGGGCGGCACCGGTGGCCGCCCAGCCCGTCCCTCAGGGGTTGGGGTCATCTATGAGAGCTCAGGTGCCCCGTTCCTCAGCTTCGCTCCTCTCCCGGCCGTCCAGTTTCCCTGGATCACTTCTCGTTTGTTATCCCGTGGGCAGAGCCACAAAAGTGTTGGTTTTTTGGTTCGGTTTTTTTGGTTTTTTTTGGTTTTTTTTGTTTGGTTGGTTGGGGTTTTTTTTGTTTTTTGTTTGTTTGTTTGTTTGTTGGTTGGGTTTTTTTGTGCTGATATCAGGCTTCCCGGGGTGGTAAAATGTGGAATTTGGGTGTTGTCAGAACCCATAGGTTTGGGTGATGAAAACTCGTTTTCCTGCAATGCTACAACAAAAAGGTGACCGTCACTGCTCCACAGGTGGGGAAATAAGGGCAGTGAGGATGGGACATGCAGCAGTGTCCCCCTGGTGTCCTGTGACTAAAACTGGGCTAATACATGGGAACACGGAGATGATTCAGAATGATTTCCAAACCCACCAACAAGGGGGGGGCTTCAGCTTCCTTGCAGATCACTTTTAAGGACATTGATTTTAATTCTGCCCTCTCTCCATTGGTGTATCTCAGAGGAGCAGGAAGGTTTCCTGTCCCTGCTGGACCCATCCAGAGCCCAGTGGAGGAGTCTCCGAGGAGTGATCTCACTGCCCAGCCCAGGTATGGCAACAGTGACACAGCTGAATGACAAGGAGGCTTATCTTGGTGAATGTGGCAGGTTAAATCCTGCTTCAGACTGCATCTCTAAAACCTGCAGTGTGTGGTTTCTGGTGTGGTTTTTTGTTTGTTTGTTTGTTTTTGTTTTGGGTTTTTTTGGGTTTTGGGGTGTTTTTTTATAAAATGGTGCTACTTCCTACAGGTGATCTTTTTCCTTCCATGGCATAAACACAAACATCAGGAAACATGTTTCCACTGTGAGAGTGACAAACAGTGGCACAGGCTGCCCAAGGAGGTTGTGGAGTCACCATCCTTGGAGACACTCTCTAAAGCTGGGCCTGGTTGTGGACAACCAGCTCTTGGTGGCCCTGCCCGTGCCCTCTGGAAGGCCCTGCCTCCCTCAACAGTTCTGTGGTTCTGTGAAATAATCAGGGATCAAACCCACCACCTCAATGTACAGTTAGCCTTCATTATGGGCAAGGACAGGAGTCCTCAGTTTGTCTCTCACTTCAGAAAACCTGTGTTTTATATTGAACTTACATGGTTCTTTCTATAGTTGCTGCCTAACCTCTATCTTGCTGGTTAGGAACTCCCCTGTGACTGGAAAGATTGGGCAGCAATCAGGTGCTGAGGATGAGAAAGTTAAATCTGGGGTTTCAGTGTCTTTGCTGCAGACGTGGAGCTGCTGCAGAACAAATGGCACTGCCCAGTGCTGCAGTTCTGAGAGTCACCCCTTCCACTCCTTTTTTTGTGGAGCTGATCTGCAGGTGAAGCTGCTCCCAGATCCAGTGCTTCAAAGATGAATGCTAGTGTCTATTCCTGGATCAGGGTCAGGCATATAAATGCTGAGCTGTTCAAAGCTCTGGCAGGACTGAGGCATTTCTGAGGAGGTACACAAGGAGAAGTTCACATGCCCCAAGACCAAGCATGCTGCTGGCACAGTCAGGTGCTCCCAAGGTTAGCACAGCAGAGGGGAGTTGCAACTTTGATTTTTGATGCCTAAATTGTATTAAAACTTCAATTTTGATACCCGAATCCTCATTTAGATCTATCCCAAAGTGGTGATTCCACCGGGAAGGTCCCTGGGAGGGCTTCGTGGCAGATTTCTTGTGTTTGGCACTTGGTGCAGTGAACTGTGATTTCAAACATGAAGACCCCAACAAGGAGAGGGAAAGTAGATTAATCCACATCCATTCTAAGAAGGTTTAAAGCTCTTGTTGGCCAAAAGGGGAGCTTAAAAGGTATTCAGGAGTCGTCCTGTTTCCCTGCTGACAAATGCAAGGTGATGTTTGTGTGAAAACAGCTCTGACACATGGGCTTGGAAGCACAGCCTGATTTTGTATCAGTGCATCCCTTAAGGAATAAACCTACTAACCACAACTCAGAAAAACAAGCAAGATGCTACTGACAAAAAGACAGATTTTTCCATTAGAAGCTGAAGTTTTATTACAGGATAACAGTACATAAAGCACATCTAAAATCGATGTGTTCAATGCACTTAATAAAGGTAATGTAATATTAAAGGTACAGTTTCTAAGTACAATATAACAACATTCATATTAGAATGAAAATTGGAGTATTTAAAAGACAACATTAAATCTCTTATTTTTACAGTCATATTTACAAAATGAATCAAAATACTTTTTTCGGGACCGAGTAAAATAACAAAGTCGAATATAAGCAGGCTATTGTAGGGTGAGCTGGAAAGGTCCATGAGGGGGACAAGTGAAGTGACTGGGTAAAGATCATTAGCAAAGGTTTAGTACAATACCACTTTAGTATTCCTCTTGATGGCTTACACTTTATTGTGGCTAGAAAAGGAATTTATACATACTGTACACATAACAGACAGCACATATTTACATGTACAGTATCATTGCATTTCAGCTTGTGTGTATTTACAGAAATCTGAGCATTTCACTCAACGAGGTTTTAAAAGTCTGTGTGCTTAATCTTCAATCTGATGTGTGTTTGTAATCAGCATTGATTCTGGCCTTGGTACACTGAATATTTAGTAAAGAGGGAGGAGAAATGTTAACCAAATGGTTTTGCATAAATATATCAAACTGTTCAAACAATGGGGGAACGTGTTCCTGCATTACCTGTAGGTTGGAACGTACAGATTTAAGAGTAGTCCTTTTCTCTTTCAAAATATCAAAAGGTGACTTAAATCAACAAGGGAAAACAAAATTGTCATGGCTTATATTTAAATAAGATTGTAGCTTCAAGAGGTTTTTATAATTGTCCTGATAGTGTTTGCAGTTAAACATTCCACTTATGAAAATATACCCACGGTGCAGTAAAGTTTGTATTTGTTTTTAGGTCAACAGTATGTTTGCTGTTTAAAAAAAATTATTTATATATATATATTCCTTGGATTGAGGGTATAAAAGCAGTGCATGGAAGCCAAGAACCATGGCTTTAAAATTCACTACCTTCTATTATCAAAAAGTGCAGTAAACAGAAACATTGTTATTAATAAATTGCTCAAAAATCTTTGCTAAAGATCTTATAAATTCAGTAATATTACAGAAAAATTCTAATAAATATTTAAAAGGTTAATTACCTCCTTAGTTAGATATTTGATATCCATCAGTTTTTAAGAATGAACATGAAAACAATATCTAGAATGAAGGGAACAGGGACAGGAGTACTTTGAAGGGTACATGGCTACGTAAATTAAGGTTTACACGAAAAAAGAAAAACAAAACCCCCATACCTGACAAAACGTTGCAAATTCCACTTCTTAATGAACTTTAGTTGCTACTGGCTGTCCCTGGATATGTGTGCCTGGTTCTAAAGCACATCCAAGGAGGGAACTGAGCCATCCATCCCTATGGAAGAGTTCCAGAACATTCCTCTTTACAGCCAGTGCCGCTCCGTGCAGGCCCGGGCACACCCCGGGGGGTTCAGATGCCATCCCCAGGGAGCAGGGAGGAAGGAGCTGGCACAGAACAGCCACACCCCTCCTGCAACACAGCAGAGTGCCCCCAGCAGCCACCTCCCTCCAGCCAGCACCTGAACTGCTGTGTACGGGCAGATCAGATGTTTCTCTAGGGTTTGGTACAATACAGGCAGACTGCTTTAGTAACCAAAAGGGTAACAAGCTGGACAGAACATTTTTAATAACCTTAATAATTAATAATGTTAATAATGTAGAAAAAAATTCTACATTTGATATCAAGTATCTGTACCGGTGAAGTAATTTTCTCCTTATTAAATATACTATAGAATAATTTATATAATGACACTATGCATTTAAAGAGAAAACCATGTCCCAAATCTTGTACTCTGATACAGGTACTTGTTGGGCATCTGTTGGTGTATATATATATATACACAAATATATATATTTATATATAGTTATACTCAGTGAAATTAACAAGACCCAAAGGTGGTATTGTCTAGGAATAAAAGGGGTTGGTTTGTTTTTGTTCACAAAAGTAACTTATCTAGCACCACACATCAGAAAAACACAAAAATAGCACACTCTAGTTCTAAACAGCTATGTCTAAAATAGATTATATAGTAAAACAGATATTATACAGCATAATGTGGTATTTGATAAACAGATAAATATTTGCACTGTGTAGGCTGTTTATAGTATAACTTTATCTATACAGAATGAAAGCAAAAAGTTAACTGTATAGAGGTGAGCAGAACAACATTAAATATTATGACTCCAAAGCAGAGACAAAGTTAGAGTTGAAAGAATAGAGCAAGATAAAATGTTTACAGGCCATTACAAGTCCTTAAATTAGTAGTAAAATAAGGAATCAGTTGCTCAAGTTTAAGAAAGCAGTAAACAAGAGATTGCATTTACATGCAGATGTCTAAAACTTGTATTTCTTTTAAATCTATGCACAAAAAGTCATTTGTTTTTATTGCTTGACATTCAGTTATGGCTAGAGTATTTTTAACCTTTTTTTTTTTTTGTACTTTGGAAACAAGAATATTGTTAAAGGTGCCATAAAAATGGACAACATTGAAAACAGTTTGCAAATAAACCACCTAACACTGCAGTTCTTTATACATTTTAAAAAGCCTTGTCTGGGGTTTGTCATATGTTAAATATATTTAATCTGGGAAAATACATTGTAGCTTGAAGCCTCCCATTGGCCCAAACATCCAATACAAAAACACTTCTCCAGAAAAGGAGCAGGCAGACAATACAGTTACACAGAAAGAAGCAGCCAGTTAATGTCCTAATACTTCAAACATTGACCACTGTTCTGGGACTTGTTGGAAATCAGTGTAGAAATGAGGAACGGTTTGGATTTCCAAAGGTGTACAGTACGTTTGCCTTTTTGTGAACTACAATTCACTGTATTGCTTATGAATCCTCTGCCTTGGCAGAGATGAGATTACAGACTGCGAGTTCCTGTAAGGGCTGTGCATCCACACCGGCACTCGGGGGTACCCGGGCTAGTGTTTCTCAAACCGAAAGTCACAACTCGTCCTCTGAGCGCTGCCGGAGCGTTCAGATCGTTATCAGAGCCCGGCTGAGGCGAACGCTGCTCGGGGCGGGAGCAGAGCGGGGCTCCAGCGAGGCCAGCGTTGTGCTGGCACAGGGCACACGCTGCCCAGGGAGCTGGAGACGCGGCTCAGCCCCACACCGGGGCAGCCGCAGGAGCTGCCTGGGGGCTGCGGGCGTTTGGAGCAGCCCAGAGGTCCCAGGAACAGCAGCTGCTCGGCTCCCTCGGCGAGGAGGCTGCCACTAATCACAGCTCGGTCACATCCCCGCCCCGGCAAAAGGGGCTCATGCCAACACAGAGAGAAACACAGCCCCGGAGATCGTGCTTTCAGAACCCCTGAGAAACACTACCACGGGAGAACAAGTACACGCAGGACATGGGAACACAGAACATGCACGTGGTAACAAAGGGTGATGGCACACATCAAGTTGGACAACTTGACTGTGAAGCTCAGCTTGAAGAAGTGATGAGATGATGAGGGAAGACGTACATGTGAATCTTGTGGCAGAAGAAGTGAACCCATGAGCATTGATCTGAAGCCTTTATCAGGTTTTGTTTCTTATTTGGATAGCCTACTTATTGCTATAAAGTTATTGCTATATTCTACCAATGATAAAGGCAAAAAAAATACAAACAGCAACATTACATATGGAAAAGGTAGAATACAGCTTCTGTTTTGATGTTAAAATTCTGTTTAGTACCTGAATGAAGTTCCAAAGATAGA